AATTCACAAGAGATGATTTGAAATCAATCCAAAATACAAAGAATTTTAAAATCATTAAAAGTTGAATAACACTAGATTTTAAATACTGGATTTAAATCATTCAATGAATAACACTAGATTTTAAATACTGGATTTAAATCATTTAATGAATAACACTAGATTTTAAAATAGAAATCAGAATCATCAATTGAATAACAGTGGATTGTGTTTAGATTTAAACTCTATTAAAATACATCAATGAATAACACCACCTTAATTTTTTGTATTTAAGCTTTAATAGTATAGATTATTCATTATTTTCATGAGATATAAATATAGGCTAATAGGCTATATTTAGCTTGACATGCATGAGCAAAACACGCTATAGTGAAACTATAAAACTGCAATGTGATTTAAGATTTTAGATGTGGTCTTTACTTCTCATTGGTATAGTTTTTTAGCAAAGTATATATATGTTATACAAATCTATGAAAAGCCTATAAGTCAAATCATTTTTTCTAACGATGCTTAGTGTCGTGGGTTTACAAGTATACGCAATCCTCTATTATTAGCACACAATAATTTAAACGTTATTAGCGTGAAGTAAAAAACAAAAATAATACTATATGATTTGAATGTTGACAATCCTGGAAACGACATAGTCTTAGACTAATAGTCAATAAGATAATTTTGTAAGATATATAAAGTAATGTTTTCGTCTTTTCGTTCTTATTATTGAATTTGTCAAATCTATAGTACATGCATATCATAAATGTTATGATAGCCATAGTAGTAGCGACTACATGCTAATTCCATGTAGTACAAAATTTGAAGTAGTAATTTTTTATATTTTTTCTTACTTAATTGCAGCGGCGGTCGGAGACGCATTTATAGCACGTGGAATAACGTTTAGAAACACGGCGGGTGCAAACAATGAGCAAGCGGTAGCTCTAAGATCTGGATCAGATTTATCTGTTTTCTATCAATGTAGCATTGGAGGTTACCAAGATACACTCTACGTTCACCATGGAGACCATGGAGACAATATTCAAGGACGGATTCATAAAGACTTCTCTTGATAGCTTGATTGGTCCACGTGGATGACTTGAATGGAATGGTAACTTCGCCTTGAGAACCTGGTTTTATGCTGAGTTTCAGAATACGGGTCCGGGTGCTTCGACTTCACAGCGGTTCACATGGCCTGGTTTTCGGGTCAGAGGCTTCAAGGTTCATTGTTGGTAGTTTTCACTGATCATACGTGTCATTTACTTCTGGTCTCTTAAAAAAAATATTTGATTGAATATTAAATCGTATATGATGATGCAAAGTCGACGAAACTTCAATATAAAATTGGAAATTCCTGTATAACTATATAGTAGTTTCATGTATTTTCGTTTTATTCTTTAAATATATTTTATTATGTATTTCTTAAATAAAATTTATCATATTGATCAGAATTTAAGGAATCTTCAAGTAAGCCCATAATCGTTAAAAGGAGCAATACGACTGTAACCAAAAACCCTAAATCTTCCTCGGCGCATCCCCTTCAACTGCAACCGAGTTTTTTTTCTTCTCAGAGCAAACCTCCGGCTCTCTGTTAGCACCGATGACGAAGAAGAAGGGCGAAGCAGCTAACGAAGAATCCAAGAAGAAAAGCGTCTCCTCCGCTGTAAAATCTCAGAAAGAGAAGCCAGTAGTAGCAAAGGAAGTGAGAAGCTCGAAAGAGGAAGAAGACTTGCTTCTAGATTCCGGAGATGATTCCTATTACGGTGGAGATGTATTCTTCTTCCACTTGCTCCTTCTTCTTGTCCTTGTTTTGTATTGTGCGTTTGGTTAATCTCTTTTTTCTGTGGTTTGTGATTTTGTAGAGCTTGTCAGGGTCTTTGAACTCCGATGATTTCGAATCTGATTTCTTCGACGATGGTTCAGACAGAGAGACAGAAGGTGGAGACGGAGAAGCGTCGGAAGACGAGCTAATTGCTTGTTTAGCTCATTTAACTTGAGATTTTAGGGTTTATCCTTCCTTTTGTAGGGTTTAAGTTAAGTGTCTTTATAGGATTAGTTAATGGAGAGTAACTATACGTTGGTGCAGGTCATGATGGCTCAGATGATGGTGAAGATGGGAGTGATGATGAAGGTTCTGAGGGACGTGAAGAGAGTGATTCTTCAGAAGATGAGGTTGGCGCTTCCTCTTTAACCTTAATAGAATTTGAAATTATTGTTCAAATGTGATTATATAATCCTTTAATCTGTAGGTTGCTCCAAGGAATACAGTTGGGGATGTTCCATTGGAGTGGTACAAAGACGAGAAACATATTGGTTATGACATTACTGGTAAGAAGATTACCAAGAAAGAGAAGCAAGACAAGCTCGACTCTTTTCTCGCAACTATGGATGACTCCAAGAACTGGTAAATTTCTGTTTATTTTGGTGCATTAGTTAGTATAACTCTGCTGATGCATTTTGTGGGGCTTCAGGCGCAAAATTTATGATGAATACAATGACGAGGAAGTGGAGCTGACTAAAGAGGAGAGCAAGCTCATTCGTAAGATGCTCAAAGGGGAAGCTCCACATGCTGACTTTGATCCATATGCGGTACGTTCGTTTGTGGCTTATGTTTAGTCGATTTTCTACTAGTGTTATACCAATCACTTCAAAGTTTGACCTTTGGACTATGATTGTGACAGCCTTATGTCGATTGGTTCAACTGGGACGATGATGCGATACATCCACTCTCAAGTGCACCAGAACCCAAGCGAAGGTTCATCCCTTCAAAATGGGAAGCTAAGAAAGTTGTTAAGTATGTTAGAGCAATAAGGAAGGGGTTGATCAAGTTTGAAGAAGAGCCCAACGTATACCTTTTATGGGGTGACGATTCTGCATCAGACCAAAAGAGCAAGCACTTGACTTATATTCCTCCACCGAAACTGAAACTGCCAGGTTCGAAAATCAACCTATTTGTGTGCTTCTGTCTTAGAATTTCGGAGGTCATTGATTTGTATAATTTGGCTTTCCAGGACACGAGGAATCATACAATCCTCCTTCGGAATTCATTCCAACAGAGAAAGAGAAAGCAGCTTATGAATTGATGTATGAGGAAGACCGTCCAAAATTCATTCCTAAAAGGTATGCTGTACTAACGCCGAACGTACTCTGCTATAGTTATCTCTGGTATTTGTTATCTTAAGGTAACATGTGCGTAGGTTTACATCTCTGCGAAGCATCCCAGCATATGAAAATGCACTAAAGGAGTCTTCTGATCGTTGTTCCGATCTATACCTATGTCCAAGAGTTCGAAAGACGAGAGTAGGCGCTTATTCGACCGTCTCATTTTCATTTTCTTTTTCCCTGTATTAATTTAATCACACAGTGTTTTTTTTTTCTTCTCTAGATAAACATCGATCCTGAGTCTTTGAAGCCAAAGCTACCTAGTAGGAAGGATCTTAAACCTTATCCAAACTCATGTTACCTTGAATACAAAGGCCATACAGGAGCTGTTACTTCCATATCCCCTGATTGTTCTGGCCAGTGGATAGCCTCAGGTATTTTATTTGGTGTGTTTTTATTCAATTTTCTAAGCTTGGCCTCTCTTTTGTTTACAAGATGCCAATCTTTGTGTTCCCGTTTTCATTTTTCTCAAAGGTTCGGCTGATGGATCTGTTCGTATATGGGAAGTGGAGACTGGTAGATGTCTTAAGGTCTGGCAGTTTAAGGAACCTGTCAAGTGTGTCGCCTGGAATCCTCTTCCTGATTTTCCAATTCTGGCCGTCGCCATGTGAGTTAGGGTCTTGGGATGTTGTTTGTTAATTTATTAACAAAATCTCTAGATTGAAATCATTACATCTCAGGGGACAAGATGTCATTATCCTGAACACTGAACTTGGCACTGATGAGGAACAACAAAGGATTGAAGAGCTGCTTCGCTTAGGAAGCCTTCCAGAACTAGATGAATCTGGTAAGCCTCTCAAGTAGCTGTTTATTAGAAAAAGACATGAAAAACTCAAATGATTAATTCTCTTATTCTTTGATATATTATCATAGTTGCGCCAATTGTAAGCTGGCATCAAGATGAAGGGATCAAGATTAGACATTTTAAGGTACACTTTTTTCTAAATCTACAGGGTCGCGTAATTGCAGAGAAAGATCTTTTAACATATATATATATATATATATATTCGCAGAACGTATCATTTGTTGACTGGCATCCAAAAGGAGACTATCTCTCAGCAGTCATGTCAGCAGGAGAAACACGAGGTGTTGTCATACACCAGCTCTCAGTGCACAAAACACAAAGGCTCCCAATAAAGATGCGTGGACTTCCCGTCTGCACTCTTTTTCATCCCAACCACCGTGGAATGTTCATCATCGCAACGAAAAAGAACGTGCGTGTTTTCAATCTTCAGAAGAAAGAGTTGGCCATCAAAAAGCTTCAGACCGGGCTGAGAGAGATCTCATCAATGGCGATTCATCCTGGTGGTGATAATCTTATAGTAGGAAGCAAAGAAGGGAAGATGTGTTGGTTTGACATGGACCTGTCTTCGAGACCGTACAAGACTCTGAAGAACCATCCTAAAGACATTAGGAACGTGGCGTTTCACCGCTCATACCCGTTGTTCGCTTCGTGCTCGGAGGATTCAACGGCTTACGTGTTCCATGGAAAGGTGTATAGCGATCTGAACGAGAATCCTCTGATTGTGCCATTGGAGATTCTAAGAGGCCATTCTACTTCTTCTTCAAATAGAGGTCAGTTTTTTAAGTTTACAATGTTACTGATCCTTTTTTATTCTTTATGAGATTATCTTTCTTACTTATGGGTTACTGTTTGATGGCAGGAGTCTTGGACTGCAAGTTCCATCCGAGACAACCATGGCTATTCACCGCTGGCGCGGACTCAGTTATTAAGCTTTACTGCCACTAAATTTCTCCCAATGCTATTTTTGTCTGTTTTCATCTCTTTTATTTTGTATTGAAATTTTCTCTCAAATCGATGATGTATTTCTACTGCATTTTAGTTTCGATCCTAGTCTCCTATGCGT